TTACCTCTGATTCCTGTGTATTTTTTAGAAGACCTCTTAGCTTGCCTGAACCCTAACTCATTTTGTTACCTTCAAGGGACAATACCTGATTCCCCCTACCCCCACCCCACCACACACACACACCATTTAAGTACCATCAAGAAAATCTGGAGACACTGAAAAAGTTGTAGAAGTCTTGAGCTCAGTGAACAGGATACATGTTAATTCATATATATATAATATTTTACAAATCTTATAAGGTGTTTTTCCTTAAAAAAAGAGTTCAATATCAAATGAAATGAAGATTATTCTCTGTTCATTGACAAAGGAATGGGAAGAGTAAGATCAAGTGGCAAAATTATTACTTTTTGGTGGTAAGGTGCTAAGAGTGGAAACTTCAAAAATTTGCTTTCTTTAAGTCCACCAGAGGACTTTCTGGCTTGCTTTAACATTGTCAAGTTCTTGAGAAATTTCCAGGATTTACTTTCTGTGGAAAGAGCAAAGGCTTTGGAATCTGACAGATACACAAACCTGATTTGACCACAGATCATTCTTATAACTTTCCCCAAGCCTTCATTTCCTTATTTGTATAACGGGGGTCATGATTCCTGTTTCACAGGGTGCTTATGAAAATCCTAATGGGATAACACCATTGTGCCGAACATGTAGTAGATGCTTGATAAATGTTAGTTCTATTTTCTGTTCATCTTATTTCAGGTTGAATTCTTTTTTCCCCCCCTTTTCAGGACTCCTGGGCGTATTCTATACTACGATCCAGAGGTCTTTAACGTCAAGCCAGCTGCTTTGAAAGCAAAGTGTTCTCAGAGGATCCAGGAGTTGGCAGAACCTATTATTCGTTAAATACAGAAAGCCACATCAAACTCTAGTTATGTATCCAGAAGACATATTAGATAGCTTAGTTCCCTACTCTGATACTGTCCGTTTGTATTCCTCCCCAAACCTCAAAAACATATGAGACCTCCTGGGACACATTGTGACCACCAGTTAGCAATTGCTGCTGTTGCCTGTAATCATGTGTTTAGCAGGTTGGGGGACTCCACCGTGCAATAAAAGAGAAAATGATAGCCTGCCTTATCCTTACTATATCCTCACAAGCATCTCGGCTGTCTCATTGCTGTGACTGACCTGAAGAAACTCTCTTCCTGAAATTTGCCAGTTTTGCTTTTCTTGTCCCGGTGAGAACCATGCTCCCCAGTAGCTTAATCTTGCCCCAATCCTTCCTTAATAGGTCCTGAGAATTGAAAACAGTCTTTGTGCTACTTTTCCAACCTCCCCTCATTCCCAAGAAATAACACTGAAATAGTGAAGCCTTTTTGGATAAATCGGAAATCTTTTTATAATCTCTAAATGAAATTTAGGGAACGGGTTACTTTAAATAATCACACCTCCACCAACTTCCATTCCTTCACTCACCNTAGACAATATGTAACATTGCCATTTCTTCCCCATCTTTAGTTTAGCAGTAAGTTCCTGAAAAGTTGGATTGGAATCCATACAACCTCGTTTGACAAACATGGAAATGGATCCTTTCAGCTATGATTGTGGGTTAACTACAAGAGTCTTATTCTTGCTGCTGGATTTGCCAAGAAGTCTGGTCCAGAGGTCAGACTGTACTCTGTAACCATGATGGAGATGGTGTTTATTATTTGATACTCACAGGTACTGTTTTATTTTTCTCCTCTAGGTTGAAACCAACATTCCAATTTCTACCCTGGCTGCTATTGCAACTCCAAGAATTATAGACCTTGCTCATCCACGGATCAAGATAGAGGGTCTGTGCTATCCAACAGAAATAAGTGAAAAACCCATCCATCCTGTAAGCCATCACTGCCTTGTCATCCTGTAGCTCACTTTCTGGTTGTTCCTAGGGTGCTATTTTGCCTTTACAGGGCATTGGCCAGAGTCATTGGAAAAGGGAATCTTGAAAGAGTGGTCTGTGGCAGAAAGGAAGACCTACCTGCAAGATACGGAGAGAGATTGGGGGTAGATGGTGAAGAGCATGAACTTTGGAGTCAGTAAGAGCTGGGTTCAAATTCCAGCCCCACCACTCTAGCTCTGTGATGTTGTGACAACCTTCTTTAGCCTTATTCAGTCAACACATATTTGAATGCCTACTGTGTGCCAGGCACCATTCTCAGTGAACAAGATGGAGGGAAACAAAAAATAAATAAGTAAACAGATAAGATAATGTTAGGTAGTGATAAATACTATGAAGAAAATATAATAGGAAATGAGTGACTATGGGAATAAGCTACTTTGCATATCAGGGAAAGCCTCTTTGATGAAAGGATGTTTGAGCTGAAACACGAATGATGAGATGGAGTCAGTGATGATCTGAGAAGAGAATATTTTAGTAAAGGGAAGAGTACATGCCAAAGTCCTCAAGTTGGGATGACCTTGAAGTTGGGTGGAGCAAGGTGAACAAGGGGAATATAAAGATAACAGTTCCCACTTGGAGGACTGTCACAACCTGTAATAGATAGGGCATGGTGCTCCGCTCAGAACCTGGCACATTCAATGGTTTCCCCTGCTCTTCCTCCTTGACGCTCCCCTCCCTTCACTGTAGTGGCAACTTGGTGCTCAATCTCAGTTGAGTTTTCAATAAATATCTAATGATCGTGTTGCCAAAGGAGGTCAGGCCAATTTCAGCCTCTTTCTAGGAACCTGAGGATTTGATATGGAATTCTGTTCAGAAAGAAGACTAGTCTGGGAATCAAAAACCCTTGGGAGAGTATCTTAAGTTTGCTAAGGTGACTTGCCTTGTAACCCTTGAATAAGTTACTTTATTCTCATGGTTTTTTTGTTTTGATATGTAAAATGGGAATGTAATTTTACTGTATATTGCTAGGATTTTTTTGGGGTTAAAAAAACCTTTTAAAAAAGCAATACCACTGTAGAAAATCATACTCTTAGAACTCAAAACATATTTGTACCAATGCAATAAAGAACACTTCCAGGGCTACTGAGTGGTGTTTGTTGTCTGTCCTAATTCTTTTCAGTAAGCACTTAAGAGACAGCAGTGGCTTTTTGTCATCCTTCCTATAATAGAAAGGCAACTGGCAGATGTGGTTTTCAAAGTAAGACCAAAAGGAGTGGTTGGTTGATCAGTCAGTCAACATATGTTTATTCAGCACTGGTTATATGTCAGAGCCTATTCTAGCTTTTGGCAAAGAAGTACAGTAAGTCTTAAATTAACATCATCAATAGGTCCTGTGACTTTAAGCAAAATGACATATAACAAAGCCAACTTTACCATAGGCTGATTGATATAAACAAGAGTTAGGTTCCTAAGCATCTCATCAGTGTTATAATGAAACAATGTTGAATGAAATGACATTATTTGAGGACCTGCTATAATTCTCTCAAGCAGTTTATATTCTAAAGAGGAGAAGCAGACAATAAACATAGCAACAAGGAGATCAATGAACTAGGTCAGGTGCTGGTAAGTCCTATAATGAAGATAGTATTGTGGAAGAGGATAATTAGAAAGGCCAATTTATCTTGGTCAATTAGGGAAGAAGTCCTTTGAGCCTAGAGACTTGAATGACGAAGAGGCAGCCATAACAAGATTGAGGAAGAGGCTTTCAAGCAGAAGAACTAAGAAGTGCAAAGGTCCTGAGAAAGAAAGAGCTAGGCTGGAGGGGCCTGGTGTGGCCTAGGATCACAGTGACCAAGGCGGGCAGGGGAGGAAGATGAGGTTGGAAGAGTGGGACAACAGCGAGGTCATGCATGACCATCTAGGCCACAGTAAGGAGCCTTAATGTTATTCTTAGCAAAATGAGAATCCACTGGAGGGTTTAAACCCTGGGAGTGACATGATCTGACTTGGGCTTCAGAAAGTGCTTACTTCATAGAGTTGTTATGATGATTAAGTAGGAATGACATAGGTATATCACTTAGAACACTGTCTGGCTCATGGAATGAATGCACTCATTAAAATGGTCCTTCTCTCCCTCTGTAAGTGCTATGTGAAGGCTTGATCATACAGGGGCAAGAATGGAATCAGGGAGACAAGTTAGGAGTCTGTTGCAGTAATAGGAAAACAATGATGGTGACTCTATTAGGGATATAGCTGCAAAGAGAGGGAGATGTGGTGAGACTTGGGATATATTTTTGTGTCTTTTGTTTCCACCGTAGGTATCCCAAGCTGCCTTGCTAGCCAAACCTAGCCCTCGGATAACAGCTCTAGCTAAGGCCAAGCCCCTTCATCAAGATTATTTACCCACCCGGGACCCCTACTGGAGAGTGTCTTATGCTGCTATCCATTACAAAGTATCTCCCAGAATTCAAGAACTAGCTAATCCAAATACAAGGTATGTCAATGTAAGACTTAAGATGGGACTTCTTAAGCCTGGGGCTTCTAGGGACAGAAAAGTTGACCTAATAAGGCCAGTGAAAAGAATTGTAGAAATATGAGAAATTTTCAAATACATCTCGCTTACTTATTGCATTTATTGTGACAAATCTATGGTCTTCTTATAAATATAAGGTTACTGTTAAAAGGTTAGTAGGTTAGTATTGAAACATAGATCTAGGAGACAACTCTGTAAGTATGGATATGGGATTATTTATCTAACATATGTTAAGTGAAACAAGTTGCAGAACAGAGCACATAATATGTTACAGTTTGTGTAAGAAAAAAAAATACATGTGCCATATATTTGCTTGCATATGCCTACGATATTTCAGAAGAGCATACAAGAAGCTAGTAATGATGGTTACTTTTGGGAGCACAGGGAACTAGGATGGGAGGAAGATTTAGTTTTCAATAAATAAGCTTTTGTATTTTTCAATGTTTTTGTGTCATGTACATGTATGACCTATTTCAAATGAATAGAAAAATATATTCAACAAAGAAGAAATTACCTCTGATTCCTGTGTATTTTTTAGAAGACCTCTTAGCT